CCGCCCCCCGCCCCCCCCGCCGATGTATCGGCGGGGACCCCTCCCCACGAGGAGGAGGAGGAGGAGGACGGCGGCGGCGCCTCGCCTTGCAAGGAACCCAACCCACCTCCGCCGCCGACAGCGGCCCCGGTGCCGCCGACCGCCGCGGCCGATGTGTGCTGCTTAATCCAGTCCAGCTGCTGCTGGTACCCGGGCGTGTCCGAGGCAGCCTCTGCGCCGCCGCCGGCAAGCTCGCCGAAACGGCTGCCGGCGATACTGTCTCCCAGAGGCTGGACATCCAGAGACTTCGCCCCGAGCATGGTGGCGGGTGAGTTCATGAACGCCGATGATGACGATGCTGCTGCTGCCGCCGCTGCCGGCGCCGCCAACGGCTGGTACGGAGGGAACCCCTGCTGCTGCTGCAGTTCCCATGCCCCCTGAGACTGTTGCTGCTGCAGCTGTTGCTGCTGGTGCTGGTGCTGGTGCTGGTGCTGGTGAGGATCATCCCAAGTCTAGGGAGTGGGGCGGAACATAAATCAAAATCGCCAACGTTGTAGAAACATTGTGGTGAACGAGGGGGGAGAGTGAGGGGTTACATGCCGGCGGGGGGTGGATAAGGCTCTTCTCCCGGGTTTCAACAAACTGGCCAACCCCGGGGCACGAGGAATATACGTTCCCCAAAAATAGGGTGACACGTAACACCCTTCCGTGGGGTTTCCGCACCACAATTCGCACATAAAAGCGCCTCTATACGCGCGCTGCAGAACCAACGTCAAGAGCGATGACTACTGGTATAGCAACTTCTCCGATCGACTGCATGTTCTATTCTAGCCCAGGGATGGGGAGGGGGGGGGTGCTTTCAAGTTTCCTCCATGAGGGCGCATTGGCACCGTACACCTTCACCACGCGAGCGTGAATCCAAGGTTGCCAAACCCCATGCTCTTGCCCGTCGCAACGTTGACCCGTACTGAACACGACCACCACGCGCCGTCAAGAGGTGGAAGGTATCACACCCTGCACATGTCCGCGGTCGGTGGTGCACCCGCTGCAAACGACACAGCAGTAGCAAGAGGCCCGTCGGACGGGCACGGTTGACGCACTCTACTGCTTTTGCTGCAGTGCATGTTTCGGCACGCACCCACACACCCACGACTATGTACCGCTCACCGTCTTGTTCAGCTTGGCGTTGTGCCAGTAGGCCCTGTTGTCGTTCTCCTTGGACGTGTACATGACCCACTCCCCCTGCTCCGACGGCGCCACGACCGTCTGCCCCGGGGAGCGGGAGACACCACCACCGACGACACCCCTCTCCCCCGACATCGCCTTCATCGTCGACGCGGCGGCGGCGGCGGCGTTCATGTCCTGCACACCGCGACCATCGGCAGCCGCGTCGCCCTCTCCGAATAGCCTGCCGCTGTCGGGACCGGGGCCGACAGGGTACCCGTTGCCGCCGCCGCCGCCACCGCCACCTCCGAGGGAGAACTCGGGCTCCGGCTGAGGCCTGCCACCTCCTCCCGGTATGCCGCTCAGGGGGCCAACGTTAGAAGAACCGGGGGGATTCGACGTGGAGGATGGCGAAAAGCGCATGCTACCACCGTCACTTCCGTACACCCCCCTCAACCTGCCGCTGCCACCGCCACCATCGCCTGGAGGGACTTGATCACCGACGGTAACGCCGCCGGCCGGCATGACCATCGACGGTTGCTGCGCATCGGGGCGAAGCGGAATGCTGTCGCTATTGTTGCCGCTGCTGCTGTTGTTGTTCATGCCTATCAAGCCCACCTCCGAATGCGGTCCTCCGCCGCCCGGGTTTCCAAGGTCACCAAAGGGATGTTGCTGGGGTTGCTGGAACATGAAACCGCCGGGCTGCGGGTTGAAGCGCTGCTGCTGCTGCTGCTGCTGGGCCATGTGGAACTGGTGCAAGGAGACAGAAAATCGTGGAGGCGGGGATAAGGAACGAGCGGCGTGGGCGAGACGAACGTGGGATCTCGTGGACACCGGTCACGGTGGTGGCGCAGCAGAGCATTCAAGATACGGTCGAATTTAGCTTCACGATGGAGCCTAGCAGCAGCAAGCCCACCTTGCGTGTAAAAACGCCGTGTCCTGTTCGGGACTAACAGGGGCTTCACGCCACCATGCACAGAACCCATACTGCAGCAGCAGGCCTGCGTCCTAAACAGACCTCACGGACTGGTTCAAATATCGCAAACGTTTGTGCAACACAAGCAGATAAAAAAACATGGGCTGCGCGCGTGCACGCACACCATGTGGTATGGGCCCACTAGAGCCTCGACTGACAAAACAAGGCTGTCGGGCATGGCTCTATATTGAAATTGGCCATCGGCAACTTGCCGGTCCCCAAACATGTATACCTGCTGGCTATCGAGGTGCTGCTGCTGATAGTTCGACAACGACGGCTGGCCGACACCCCCGCCGTCAAGCGTGAGCCCTCCGAGCCCGGACTGCAGGGACGATGACGTGCCTACCATGTCTACGCCGGGAGGGGGCACGCCAAGCGCTCCGGCCACAGTAGGAACGGGGCTGTTTACAATGCCGTCAACGTCGCACCACCTGCCAGTCTGCGTACGCGGGAAAAGGCGAGAAAGGCGGGGGTACCGCCGTGAGCGGATGCTCTAGTCTAGCAATCCATCGGTGCAAGATGCATACTTCATGTCTTTCCGCCGTCCGAGAATGCGGGGCACGGGCTTGACACGCGAGATTCTTGGGTCAAATCGCGAGGGGAACAACAATCGACCAATCACAGCAGCAGGTAGCGGAAGCTCTCTCAAATCCGGCCTTCTCATCATAGTTCTTACTTTGAAGCTGTGCTCTTGTGGTGTACTCTCATGTACCTGCCATGGCCGCGACAACCTGCGATCCAAATCTTTCGTCGCAGCCTACCGCTACACATGCCACCGTGGTTGTGACAAAACAACATATCGACCTAAGACGCCGTGGGACCACACTTGCTCCGCCATCCTCGGACCAGCGACGGAACGATCGTCCAACACGCACCTGATCAAGGGGAGGCTCGATGTCGCCGGCTCCACCGGCAAGCCCACCCGCTCCTACTACGGAGTCGTTTATGTCATCCCCTGTTCCTCCACCAGCCCACGGGGCCATGGTCGGACCCTCTCCGTTCAGCACGTCGCTGCCGGAGGGCATGAAGAGGCCTCCTGCTGGCTGCCCAAGGGCGCCTTCGGATGCCATGCCGTCGTTGTTGCCTCGGGCCAGCTGCTGCGGCTGCTGCTGCTGCTGCTGTGCGAAGTTGACCCGTTGCCTCTTCCAGTGCTCTTGCAGAAATTGGCGGATCTGGCGGCGGTATCGGTCGCTGTTCTTGTCCTGGTCGTACTTCTTCTGGATTTGGATCGCGGACTCGGGAGCGCCCGGGTGGTTTATCACCTGCATGAACTCCTGCACGTCTCGGTCGTTGGAATCGCCGCCGTCCTTGTTTTGCCTGCCCCCGCCACCAGGGCGAGGTCCGCCGCCTCCGCCACCTCCATTACCTCGGCGGTGCCTAGAGCCTTTTCGGCGACCACCACCACCGCCACCGCCACCGCCACCGCCACCGCCACCGCCACCACCACCACCACCATTGCCAGAGTTTCTTTCTACTGGGCCACCTCCGCCTCCCCCCTGGCCGGAGGCATCCTGCTGTTGTTGCTGCCCCCCATGGTGCTGCTGCGGCGCGCCGCATGGCGAAAACGAGGGAAACGGTTTGTCGATCAACAACATGGTCTCGCGTGTCGCATGACGCTGTCTACGCGAGTAGCGCGTACCGCGTTTTTCGGCAAGCGACTGAGCTTCCACCCCCAGCAGTCCATATGCAAACCCACGCGAACAAGTTTTCGTTCGGAAAGGAGGCAGCGACCTTAGATTGGACCATGGTTGTACATGTTTCATGCTGCGGCTCCTCTCCATTTCAAAACTCAAACAGCTGGCATGATCCCCATTCCTCTTACACGAGCAAAGCGAGGGAGAGAACATGCTAAAAGTGCAATCTAGATAGACCATGGCCGAAAATTTAATGCACTTTGGACAGCAGTATTCAAATGCACCCATGGACAAACCATGGAGATTGATTTGGTTTTGAAGATCAGGTTGAGCCACTGGCCATGGGCCCAGCAAGTGAAGAGGCCCCTTTTCATACCTCTCCTCCTCCTCCACCCTTGTTGTTTCTTTTCTTTCTCCCTCCTCCTCGTTTTCCGCCTGCACCACTGCTGCCAACACCGGACCCATCGCCGTGCCCACCTCCTCCACGACTTGGTGCTGGCATAACGCCTCTGCTCCCCTCAATCGTCGGCTACTCTTGGCGATGGCGGGGCCTGGTGGGTGCTGGTGCTGGGTGCCCATGCTGGGGGGGCCGCGGAAAGATATGTGTCGGCGGACGTACCCGGGGGGCCGGCGGCCTTTTCACTTTTTTCGTGGAGCACACGACGATGCAGGATGGATACACGAGACCTTTACACATGTTTCACCCGCTGCGATTAGCGCCTGGGTTGTTGATGGGACGAACACACACACTGCTGTTGTTGTCGCGAGAATCAATAGAACTACGGGTAGGCCATTAACTATTATTTACCACACGTACGAAGTACGAGGGTTGCATTCTGGTGGACTTCTGTCGACACGGATCGAAACGAATCATGAGTTCGTTTTTGAATCTTCCGCTTTCGTTGTTGTCAAGAGGGACGGGGGGTGATTTCTCTCTTTGTCCCCTCCGGCGTGCGACCAGCGCGACCAAGAACGCCGACATGCCACCCTCTACATGTCTTTGTATCTCCATTTATTCTACCCTCTATATGCCTCTATATATGTTTGCGGCCTACGCCACTTATTTATCGGGTGAGACTGTTTTGGTGATGTATTAACTTCACGAGAGGTCGANCAAGGAGGGGCCCCGTGAATCATCGCGGTGCCCCCTATCAAACGGTTATCTTACCAGTCTGCGTGACACAAAATCATCCAGCACATGTATCCAACACCAATGTTCGCAGACCCACGAACACCCTTCCTGGTCCTTCACGCAAGTGACTAACCATCAATTAATTGGGCAAGAACGCCCCTGGATACATCAGAAAATACCAACATGGAAATGTATGGAGGGGAAACTCGGCGTCCGGGTAACACCCCTAAAAAAAAAACTCTACCATCACAAAAACCGTCGCTATCACAGCGGATCACAACGGCCGCACTTATTAGAAATGTCAAGGCGAAGACAAGAACGCGAGGAACTACGTTCCCCCGGACGATGGCCTCCCAACGCCCCCTACTCCTGCCATTGGTACACAGACCGCAACAGTTATGCGCCTTTCCCCGCATGGAAAACATGGCCTCTCCCAAGTGCTAGAAACTGCTACAGCTACTCCGGCAAATTCATCAGCTTGCGCCGGTGATACTGCAGACTGGCCCTGCTAAGGGCCTTGGTGAGGAGGTCCGCGTATTGCTCCGTTGTCGGGACAAACTTGACCGAAATTTCCCCCGACCGGAACAATCCGCGGATGAAATGAAACCGCACGTCGATGTGTTTC